AAGGAGTAACAGGAATACAGAGTACTGGGCTAATGGTAAGATTCTTGGTAGTGTGCATGAGCAGAGAGATCTCGGTGTCCATGTGCATAGATCACTGAAAGTTGCCACCCAGGTTGATAGCGTTGTTAAGAAGGCGTACGGTATGTTAGGTTTTATTGGTAGAGGGATTGAGTTTCGGAGCCATGAGGTCATGTTGCAGCTGTACAAAACTCTGGTGCGGCCGCACTTGGAGTATTGCGTACAGTTCTGGTCACCACATTATAGGAAGGATGTGGAAGCATTGGAAAGGGTGCAGAGGAGATTTACCAGGATGTTGCCTGGTATGGAGGGAAGGTCTTATGAGGAAAGGCTGAGGGACTTGAGGCTGTTTTCGTTAGAGAGAAGAAGGTTAAGAGGTGACTTAATAAAGACATACAAGATGATCAGAGGATTAGATAGGGTGGACAGTGGGAACCTTTTTCCTTGGATGGTGATGGCTAGCACGAAGAGACATAGCTTTAAATTGAGGGGTGATAGATATAGGACAGATGTCAGAGATAGGTTCTTTACTCAGAGAGTAGTAAGGGCATGGAATGCCCTGCCTGCAAAAGTAGTAGACTCGCCAACTTTAAGGGCATTTAAATGGTCATTGGATAAACATATGGATGATAATGGAATAGTTTAGGTTAGATGGGCTTCAGATTGGTTTCACAGGTTGGCGCAACATCGAGGGCCAAAGGGCCTGTACTGCGCTGTAATGTTCTATGTTCATTGTTCTAATAGGTTTGAGGTTTTCTCAGTCTGTTTGGATAAGAGTGGAAACTGTAGGCTATGTGACCAAACTGACTGTGGTACAGGAAATCATTCAACCAACTGATGCAACAAGGAATGTTGTAGTAGGAGGGTGTAGTATAAGGAATGGGTTTGACACTTCTCTGACGCAATAAGCGAGAGTCTATATGGTTATGTCGCATGTCTTCGTACATCTGTTCAGGGCTGGAATGGAATTTGCAGAGGAATGGGGGAGGATCCAGTGGTTGTGGTTCTACCTATGTTGTGGAACCAAGAAAGAGATTCTGCATGGAAGTGAGTAGCTAGGTAAAAAATTGAAAAGCATGACATTAAAGGTTATAATCTCTGGATTACTACCTGGGCCACATTCAAATTGGCATAGGATACATAAAATTAGAGAGAATACTTGGCTTAAAGAATGGAGAGAAATGGGTTCTACTTTGTGGAGAATGTGGAGGCTTTAATGTTGGAATAGTTTACACCTGAACTGTGCTGGAGCCGGTATTCTTGTGAACTGCATAACTTTGGAAGCTTAAAGATTTTTAAGGGATCAAATGCAGAAAGATGTAGTACAACAAACAGTGGAGACAAAGTAACAGAGGGAAATTGTAATTAGGAAATTAAGTCAGGGAACAGCAGTAAGGGACAGAGAGAAAAATAAACCTTGAAATACACTGACAATCAAGACTACATGTCACAAGGACAATAAAAAGATGAAACTAAATCTTCTGTAGCTGAAGGCACTTGGCATTCAATAACAAATTAAATAAATCGAAAGCACACTTTGAAGTAAATATGGTCTGATGTCTACTATGGGCATCTGCAGCAGGATGGCAAGTAAAGGATCCTTAATGTTGAGTATGTGCCATTCAAGAAGAAAAGGAAACTAGAAAAAGCTGAAGATGTTACACTGTTAATCAACAATGGCATTTGAACAATCGAAATAAACTGGGAAAGTCAGGACTCAGATTAGCCTGGGTGAAGAGCTCCTCAAATTTTTTGAGGTAATTTCTCAGAGAAATATGATCTGGAACTGATGACAGAACAGGTTACATTAGACTTGGTAATTTATAATGTAACAGGATGAATTAATTACTTCAAAGTAAAGGCATCCATTGGTAGCATTGGCCACAATATAATTGAATTTTAAATCCCGTTTGAAAGGGAGAAGACTAGATGTAAAACTTATATTTTAAACAAAATTAAGACAACTTGTTTGGGCATGAAAACTGAGCATACTAGGCTAGGGAATAGATCAATAAAGATGCAGTTCATTTAAGGGGATATGAAAGAATAGTCAGAATAAGTGTATTCCTATCATAAAGAAAAATTCTAGATAGGGTCCCACCATTTGTGGTTAACTAAAGAAAGTAAGGAAGGTAACTTAAGGAAAAAAGCATGTGACTCTGCAAACTAGAATGGCAGGTCAGATGATTAGTTAGAATATAAAGAATGGCAGAGAATATGAACGACAAAAAAGTTAATCAGGCAGAATAAATTAAAGTATGAGAGGAAACTAGGTAGAAATGTAAAATTCAGATTGTAAGAGTTTCCAAGAATATTTAAAAAGCAACAGAGGAATTAAAATCAGAGCTAGTAGGAACTGCAGATACTGGAGAATCTGAGATAACACGGTGTAGAGCTGGATGAACTTCTGAAGAAGGGTCTAGGCCCGAAGGGTCGGCCTTCCTGCCCCTGTGATGCTGCTTGGCCTGCTGTGTTCATCCAGCTCTACACCGTGTTTTATCAGAGGAATTAAAATGAATGTTGATCCTCTAGACTGCGAGAATGGGGAGTTAACAGTTTCTCCCTTCATTAAGGTTTACAAAAAATGTCATTCCAGTAATAACTGTAAAACAGGAGGTGGAAGGGACATGAAACTTTGTAAAATTTCAATCAAGACGAAAATGTTACTGATAGATCTATGAGCTGACAAGTCTCCGGGTCCATGTGGACTTACCTTGGGTCTTTAAACAAGTTTATTGAGCCTGTAATTATGTAGGTGTTAACATGCCAGCATTCCCTCAATTCAGGAATGGTTCCATCAGACTGGAAAGTAGCAAATATAACTCTTCTATTCAAGAAGGGAGAGAAGCAGAAAACAGGGAATTGTTGGCCAGTTAGCTTGACATCTGTTGTGGAAAAGGTGTTAGAATCAGTCATTAAAGAGATTATATCTGTGCAATTAGAAATATTCAAGTTAATCAGGAAACGTCAGCATGGTTTCATTAAAGAGAAATCATGTATAACCTTTTTGTTGCTCTTCTTTGAATAAATTACTTGCTGTAGATAAAGGGGACTACACTTGTTTACTATTTATTTACATCAATGACTTGAGTGAGGAGATTGAAGGAATAGTAGCTCGGTTCACAGAAGGCATCAAGATAGGTTGGAAGGTATGCTGTGAAGTTTCAGGTGGATATAGATAGGTTGAGTGGCTGGACCAAAATCTGGCAGAGGAGTTAAAATGTGGAAAGTAAAGTTGTTTACTTTGGCAGGAAGAATGAAAAGGTACAGTATTGCTTAAGTGGAGAACGACTGCAGAATTCGAAGACACAGAGTGACTTAGGTGTTCTGGCACATGAGTCACAAAAATATAGCATTCAGGTACAGCACAAGTAATCAAGAAAGCTAACAGGATGCTATCTTTTATTACAAGAAGAATTGAACATAAAAGTAGTTACGCTTCAGTTATAGAGGTGAGGCTACTTCTTGAATACTGTGTGCAGTTTCTATGTTTTTATTTTCAGAAGGATGTAAATTCACTGAAGGCAGTTCAAAGGAGATTTACTAATTGAGCAGATTATTTCATGAGAATAAGTTAGCTGGGCTGGGCTTTATTCCACTGGTGTTTAGAAGACTGAGGAGTTGCTTGATTGAAGTATGTAAGATCCTGAATGGTCTTGACAAGATAGGTGCGAGAATGAAGTTTTTCCTTTGAAGGTCAGTCCAGAACTAGAGGGTTCTGTTGAAAAATCAGAAATCACCTTTTTAGGATAGAGATTAGAAGAATATTTTTCCTCTGAGGGTTTGGAACTTCCTGCCTCAGAAGGCAGTGGAGGTGATGTTGTTGAAACATTTTAAGATGAAGGTAGATAAGATTCTTGTTAAGCAAGGGAATCAACGGTTATTGTGGGTAGATAGGAATGTGGAATTCAGAACACAAACAGATCAGCTATGATCTTATTGACTGGCAGAGCATGTTCGAGAGGCCAAATGGTCTACTTCCGCTTCTGTTTCATAACTTACATGACCAAGTGTGGCACAAGCAGCCCTAGCAAAACTGGAGTCAGTGGGGATTGGCAGAAAAACCCTTTACTTGGAGTCAAACGTAGCACAAAGAAAGATGGTTGTTGTAGTCGGTGAATAATCTCAGCCATAGGACATTACTCCAGGAGTTCCTCAGGGTGGCATGTTAACCCTAGCCCTAACCTTCAGCAGCTTCAGCAATGACGTTCGTTGCATCTTAAGGTCAGGAGGAGGGATTTTGACTGATAATTCCACAATGTACAGCATGTTTCATAACTCTTCAAGCTGAATCAGTCCATGTTCACATGTGGCAAGAGCTGGATAACATTAAGGCTTGGGCTTATGTGTGGCAACAAACGCTACTTGCTACCTAAATGCCAGGCAATCACAGTCTCTAATCAAGTCAGAAGTCACACATGACACCAGATTTATAGTCCAACAGGTTTATTTGAAATCACAAGCTTTCGGAGCGCAGAAAATCCGAAACCTTTCCTTGACAATCAATAGCATTACCTTGGCTGAATCCCCACTATCAACATCCTGGGGATTGGCATTGCTCAGAAACTGAACTGGATCAGCCATATATATACACATTCTGTGGCTGTACAAGAACAGGTCAGGACTTGTGCAGTGAATGACCCATCTCCTGACTCCTCATACCCTGTCACCACTGTGAAGGGAAAGTCTCCATTTGCCTGAAACAATGCAGCTCCATCAACATTTGAGAAGTTTGACACCACTCAAGATAAAGAAGGTTGCCTGATTGACACCCTATCCACCAACTTCCACATTAACTCCCCCCCCACCCCCATCACTGACAGCAGACTGTACCATCTATAAGATGTAATGCAGTAACTTACCAAGGTTTGTCTGTTTGACAGCATATTCTCTCTCTCTCTCCCCTCCATCTCATTTCCCCTTCCTCCTATTTGCCTCATTATTTCTTGCCCCTTTCGTTATGATCGTGTTAAAAGCCCCTCTAGATCCTTAAAGAGATGAAGGACACTGGAATATCCTTGAGGTTATTTATTATTCTTGGGGGAAGTGTGAGGGACAGAATCCTCAGGAGTACCTGGAAACCTCTCACTGGATGTTCCTCTGGGCTCCGAGCCCCACACTTCCTCGGGCTCCGCCTTTCCGGCACAATTTCTCAGGGCCCAGGCTGGAGCTCAGCGGCACTAAAAGGCGGCAGATTCCCAGGTGAGTCTCCGCTGCCCTCAGTCTACGGGAGCGGAACCGAAGGGAGTACCCGGAACGATTCTCCGGAGCTCCCTTTTGCCGACGGAAACCGGAGAGCGGTAACACGACCGGAAATCAGGGCCTGAGGTGGGAGCGCGAGTGGTATAATACCCCACAGCAACCGGACAGACCTCTTTAACAATCGGGAATCCCCATAGCAACCATATAGACCCTCCTTAGGGATCACCATAGCAACTGGAGAGACCACCATTAACAATCAGGGGAATCCCCATAGCGACCATAGAGACTCCCTTAGGGATCCCCATAGCAACCGGAGCGACCCCCTTAACAATCAGGGGAATCCCCATAGCAACCGGAGAGACCCCCATTAACAATCGGGAATCCTCATAGCGACCCCCTTAGGGATCCCCATAGCAACCATACAGACCTCCTAAGCGATCCCTATAACAACCGGAGATACCCCTTAACAACTGGGAATCCCCGTAGTAACCATAGAGACCCCCTTAGGGATCCCCATAGCAACCAGAGAGACCCCCTTTGCAGCTGGAGCGTCCCCCTTAGCACTGAACAACCCTTAGTGACTAGGGTGACGCCCACCCCCAGCAACCTGTCATAGAAATATAGAATCCCCACAGTGCAGAAAAAGACCATTTGGCCCATCGAGTTAGCTGATCCTTGGCCTCAGCACTGCCACAAACTCAATTCACCAGCCACCACCTCAGACTGACTTGGAGCCCAAGGTGACGGGTCAATGTGAAAGATCTCATAGAACTGCTTTGCATAAGAAAAGGGGTGTTATACCCGGTGCTCTGGTTGATATTTGTCTCTCATTCAGCATCATGAAAACAGATTGTCTGGACCTTGTTGTTTACAGGACTTGCCGTGCAAAAATTGCCCGTTGTGTTTCCTGCATTACAACATGATGTCCTCTCAGTAAAAGTACTTGATTGTGAAGCACTTTAAGACCTGTGTTTAAAAAAAAGATGCTGTATAAATGTAAGTCTTCCATTGATGCTGCCCTTCAGTCATATTAAGCCAAGTTCCAGTCTGCCTACATGCATGCATGTAGAGAATCATATGGGCCTCTTTGGAAAATTGATGCTCGAGCTGACATCAACCTGAAATAAGATCATCACATTATTGATTTGTGTTTTTTTTCTGGATTCTCACTGTATGCAACCTGTCTGACCCATTTGCTTCACTAACAATAATAAGGTTTTCCTGAAGTAAAGTTCTTGGCTGTTAAGCACCTTGAAAAACGCTGAACATAAAATGACCCATTTTAACATACTTCTTTTTGCTTTCTATTTGCATCCTTAAAGCTACAAACAAATCTATCTTCAGTAAAATCTGCTGACCCGCAAATAGTATACTTAATGCACTGAGCCACCAGATCCAAATTCAATGATTTCTGCCTGTTTCCATCAGCGCAGCAAAATATCCATTATGTTCGTGTACTGGATAAGCAATACTTGTTTCCTGTGTGACAGGCTGCAGGAAGTTCTGGTGGTTAAGAACACTCCATAAGAAAGATCTCCTGGTCTTTAGCTGTTGCTTATTGTAGAGTAAGCACTGAGACTGCTAACCCATTCAACTTATGATGTCTGGAAAATAAACTCCGTGTTAACCAGTAGAAAGACCAATTTTACTAGATTTTCATTGATAGGATTTTAGGAAACCTAGCCCAGAAAATTTACTTGGTGTGTGAAAGCTGCAGTTCAGTTGGATTATCATTGCACAAAGGAAACTTTTGCCAGTCTGGTGAATTAGTCCCTTGTGTTTGGCAGTCGTCTGTTGTTTGTTGTCTAAACATTTCTAAGCAAAAGTTCAACATTTGAAAGTGTTTCAATTTCTGGATTTTCTTGCAACCAAAATGTAATCATTCAATCCTCTATTCCACTTTGTAATCCAGACCCATTTTCTGCCATAACCCTGTTAAATTTTGCACTTGTTAGAAGTCACAACCTAATTAGTTTCCACAGTGAGATGCAATATCAAAATTCCTTCCTTATAATATAATGTTCCTTCATTACCAACTGTATCTCTCAATCTAGCTACTCTCTGATGCTGTTTGTGACTTGGCATCCTATTTGGCCCTGGATTAGTATCCAACTACATATCCACTCTGTAGCCAAGACCACCTACTTTTACCCTTGTATCATCAATCTCCATCCCTGGCTCATCCCTTAGCTCAACTATAGCTGTAAATGTTATCTAGGCCTTTGCTACCTCAAGGCTTTAACTGTACCAATGCTAGGCTGTCCACTTTCCAAGCTCCATAAATGTGAAATTATTCCAAAATCGCTGTCCATAACTTGGGTTGTACAAAGTCCAATTCGCTCATTACCCCTGAGCACACTGATGTGTATTGCTACTGTTTGACAGAACTTCATTTCTACAATTTTCCTCCAAGTTTTCTTCTCTGATTGTGACTCTGTACATTTCTGTAATGACCTGCAGTCCTGCAATCTTCAAAGAACTCTACACTTCTCCATTTCTGACCTCTTGCTCAATCCTGATTTTAATCACTCCAGCAGTGGTAGATCAGAACGTGTCATAAATTCTTTTGTGATTTGATGTCAAATTTTGTTCCTTAGCACGCCTTTGAAGTGCGGTGGGATGTTTCAGTACAGTGATGTGGCTAAGTAAGTGTAAGTTGTTGGACTGACAACCTGAATTCAAGTTCCTTTTTTTTCCAGTGAGTAATGGTAGTGAAGAAGTGACATTTACAAGACTCATGGCAGACAAAAGACAGCGGGCAAGGGTGCAAGGTGCATGGGCAGACCCCAATAGGACCACTGTAAGATCACATCAAGGTACAGAAACTCTTTTAAAGGGATGGGTTTATTTGTGATGCAAAATGACTGCTATCATGGAGAAATCTAAAGATGTGTTTACATATTGGGATGCATGAAAGATCTATGGTTTACCAAAATAAATAAACTGGAGAGAGCATAATCTGAGTTTTGCCCGGTGTTTTGCTTGTTTCAATGAGGAGAAATTCTCTACCCAGAGAGTACTGAGCCTGTGGAATTCTCTGCCACTGAAAGCGATTAAGACCACAACATTGAATGTTTTCAAGAAGGAGTTAGATATGGTTCTCAGGCCTAAAGGGATCAAAGGGCATGGGGGAGAAAGGGAGACTTGGATGATCAACCGTGATCATATTGAAGGTGGAACAGGCTTTAAGGGCCACATGGCCTATTCCTGCTCCTGTTTTCTATGTTTTCCATGTTTATGAAACTACTCCATTCCAGTGTTCTTATCTGCTCACTGACTGCCTTAATGCTTTAAGACTACTGACAGATAAGGAATGTTCATAGTGAGGTGCAGGTGCCTGGGGTAGACAAAGTCAGAAATCATACGACAGCAGGTCAGACAGCATCCAAGGAGCAAGAAAGTCAATGTTTCGGACCAAAACCCTTTGTCAACACTGGGGAGAGGGAGGGGAGTGCAGAAGTAAATAGAGGGATGGGGGTAGAGCTGGGGGAAGAGTATGTGGGATGGTGATAGGTGGATGCAGTTAGGAGGTTATTGTGATTGGTTAGTGGAAAGGATGGATCGGATAGGTGAGTGGGAAGATGGACAGGTAGGTCAGGGAGGCAAGGAGGAGGGGGAGTACTGGACATGGGATAAGGCTGGGGGGTGGAGGGATTTTGAAGCTGGTCAAGTCAATATTGAGGCCATTGGGCTGTAAGCTCTCAAGGCGAAATATCAGGTGTTGTTCCTCCAGTTTATGTTTGACCTGACTCTGACAGTGGAGGAGGCCAACGATGGACATGTCACCAGGGAGTGGGAGCGGGAATTAAAATGGATGGCATCTGGAAGGTCAGGTGGGTTGATTAGTGCAGAGCGCAGATGTTCCATGAACTGGTCCCCAAGTCTGTGTTTGGTCTTCCCGATATAGAGGAGACCATATTGGCAGCAAATGATACAATAGATCAGGTTGGATGACGTGCAGGTGAATCTCTGTTGGAGCTGGAAGGATTGTTTGGGGCCTTGGACAGAGGTGAGAGGGGAGGTGTAGGGGTAGGTGTTGCTGCTCTTGCAGTTGCAGGGAAAGGTACTGGGTGTGATGGAGAAGTTGGTCGGGAGTGTAGAGCTGACAAGGGAGTCATGGAGTGAATGGTCCATGCGGAAAGTGGATAGGGGTGGGAAAGGAAATATCTTTTTGGTGGCAGGGTCTGATTGTAGGTGGCAGAAATGTCAGAGGATGATGCATTGGATTTGGAGGTTGGTGGGGTGGTACGTAAAGACTAAGGGGAGTCTATCCTTATTGTTGTTGGGGAGAGGGGTTTAGAGGGCAGAAGTGTGAGAAATGGAGACATGCGTTTGAGGGCCTCCTTAATTACAGAGGAGAGGAAAGTACGGTCCCATCCTCTCTAATTAAAGACTCCTACTTTAGGGACCTTAGTGCTTTGTCATTTGAGTTCACCGGTCTTGCTTGGATCACCAGAGGAACAGGAGTCTATTTCCTTTCCTCTTCTCTCCACAGTTCTTTCTTTGCTTGAGGACAGAACTTGCCCAGAATGATTGAAGCATTGATGTGTAACAATGTACACAGGATGGAACACACAGGCTTCCTGGTCAAAAATATCAGATAACAGTTGTGGAGGAGAAAGAATGACTGGAGCAAATTTGAGACTAAAATTCTCAAATCTTTTATGACAAGTGATGGGATGTTTACCTTGCACAAGTTGCCCAGAAGAGGTATATATTTTGATGGGTTTTAGTACTCAAATAATTAATGATTTTACTAATGTTTTGATGTCAGTATAACTTTGCATGGTTTGTGCTGTCACATCTACCTTTTGTTGCTTTTTGGACAGTATATATGTTATCAAGTGCCTTATTTAGCAAAATATGACATCGAAGCAGCATTCACAGGTCCAAATGATACATCAACACATCTTCTGTAGAGTCAGTAGAATTTCTGCACCATAAGGAAAGTAGAACATATTATCAAAAGAGTATGAGATAACAAGGTGTAGAGCTGGATGAACACAGCAGGCCAAGCAGCATCAGAGGAGCAGGAAGGCTGACGTTTTGGGCCTAGACCCTTCTTCAGAAATGGGGGAGGGGAAGGGGGTTCTGAAATAAATAGGGAGAGACGGGGAGGCGGATAGAAGATGGATAGAGGAGAAGATAGGTGGAGAGGAGACAGACAGGTCAAAGAGGCGGGGATGGAGCCAGTAAAGATGAGTGTAGGTGGGGAGTTAGGGAGGAGACAGGTCAGTCCAGGGAGGACGGACAGGTCATGGGGGCCGGATGAGGTTAGTAGGTAGGGGATGTCTACATTCAAAAACCCCAACCGTGACAATGTCTACATTCAGAAAACCTGCCTACAGAACTGGATCATTCCCAATGGACTACAGTCCACATTTAGGCCTTCCCAATTTGGCCCCAACCGTGACAATGTCTACATTCAGAAAACACCTCCTACCTACTAACCTCATCCCGCCCCCTTGACCTGTCCGTCCTTCCTGGACTGACCTATCTCCTCCCTAGCTCCCCACCTACACTCACCTTTACTGGCTCCATCCCCGCCTCTTTGACCTGTCTGTCACCTCTCTACCTATCTTCTCCTCTATCCATCTTCCCTCTCTCCTTATTTATTTCAGAACCCCCTTCCCCTCCCCCATTTCTGAAGAAGGGTCTAGGCCCCAAACGTCAGCCTTCCTGCTCCTCTGATGCTGCTTGGCCTGCTGTGTTCATCCAGCTCTACACCTTGTTATCTCAGATTCTCCAGCATCTGCAGTTCCTCCTACCCCTATCAAAAGAGTATACTTGGTTTCTCAATTTTCAAACATGCTTAAAATTATTCAGTGCAGCAATTGTATGTTAAATCATCTTGTTTTGAAGATTTTGTTCCCCCTCCCACTCCTTCTTTGAGCCTCCCACACAAGTGATCTGTTCCAGCTCTCTTATAGATGGTAGTCCAGAATAAATCGTTTTTGATTTTTCCTGTAGGAAGATGGTTAGCTATGGCTTTGCCCTTTTCCTCCCTTTTGAGTTTTATACTGGAAATGCGAATATTTATTCTACAGTTTCAAAGCATTGTTTCTTTTTTCATTCATTAACAGGATGTGAGTGTTGCTGGATAAAGCTAGCATTTATTGCCAGCCCCTAATTGCCCTTAAAAGTGGTGTAGCTGAGCCACCTTCTTGAATTGTTGCTGTTGATGTCATGAAAGTGCACCCAGAGTGCTGTTGGAGAGGGAGTTCCAGTATTTTGACCCAGTGACGATGAAAGCGCAGTGGTATGTTTCTAAGTTGAGATGGTGTGTGGCTCGGAGGGGAACATGCAGGTGGTGGTGTTCCTGAGTATCTGCTGCCCTTGTGGACATACTGGGAAATTTTCAACATTTCTGGGTAGGTGCCAGTGTTGCAGCGATACTGGAACAGCTTGGCTAGGGGTATGGCTAGTTGTGGGATGCAGTCTTTGTTACTATTGTCAGAATATTGTCAGGGTCCCCAGCTGTTACACCTAGATCAAGTATCCAGTGCCTTCAGCCATTTCATATGGTATGATTTGAATTGACTGAAGCCTGGCATCTTAGATACTGCAGTCCTCAGAGTTGGATCATTTACTCAGCATCTCTGGATGAAGATGGATGTAAAGGCAGCACTTATCTCCACAAGGAATGTGCAGTGGTCACTGTTACTAATGTTGTCATACTACTGGTAGATTAGTGAGGATGAGGTCAAAAGCATTTTTCCCTCTTGTTGGTTCCTTCATGACCTACTGTACACCTCGTCTAAAAGCTGTGTCCTTTAGGACTTGCCAGCTTGGTCTTCCAAACTACTCATGGTAATAGATATTGAAGTTCTTCACCCAGGGTGTATTCTGCAGTCTGGTCACCTTCAGTGTTTCCACAAAGTGCTGAGGAGAATTGATGCATTAGCTGTGTGCTAATTAGCAGGAAGTTTCCTTGCTCATGTTTGACCTGATACCATGAGATTTTATAGACTCCTCAGCTAATGTTGGGGGCTCCCAGGACAACTCCCTATCAACCATAAACCACTATGTTACCACCTCTGGTGGATCTGGCCTACCGGTGGGACAGGAAATATCCACGGATGGTGCTGATGGTGTCTGGGGTATTGTAATGTATGATGCCACGAGTATGGATATGTCAAGCTATTGTGAAACAGCTCTCCCAATTTTGGCACATACCCCCAGATGTTGAGAGGGAGGACTTTGCAGTGTCATAGAGTTATAGAATCCTCACAGTGTGGAAAGAGGTGTTGCAAAGCTGAGTAAAGTAATTATGAGGTGGAATGCAGGAAGCTAAAACGTGTGGTCCTGGATCTGGACGGTTCGAGTCCGGGATCTGAACGGATTTGGACAGATTCACATAGACTTGTGAATTTGTGTCCTGGGTCTTTAAATAAAACTTAGGTAAGAAAAATCTGCTAAATTTCAGTTACATGTGGTAGGTTAAATTAAAAGTGAGGGAAATAGCTCTTAACATTGCTAAAGAGATTCTGGGATTTGAAGATGCTTCCCAAATTTTCCAAGAAAGCTTAGAAAGACAGAGGAAGGATATACTTTTAGAATTAGCAAACAGGTTAAATTTGGGTTTAACAAGGAATAAAAGGAAAGCTGAAATTGTATTGGAGTTAAATCAAGCACTTGGGTACATCAGAGAAGCAGGCAAGTGCAGTGGAGTTAGAAAAACCTAGATTTCAAATGAGACAACTGGAGTTAGAGAATGAAAGGAAGGTGAGAGAGTTTGAATTACGGTTAGAAGCAGAGGAAAGAGAAAGAGAGAGAGAAAAGAGGAACATAGAAAGAGAGACCGAAGAAAGGAAAA